GAATTAACGCAAGCTAAAACAACTATGGTGTCCCTCAGTGAGGTCCCGTGGTTGCATGGGCTGGGCATGAGTGGGACTTGGGGCTGGCTGCATTGGCCCCAGAACTGGGCTCTCTGGGAGATGGGGATGGCACTGGATCACACACAACAGCTCTCCTAACAAGGGGATTCCCAGCCCAGCCCAGAATGAATTCATCTTCTAAATGGAAATGTCAAAGGCTGGAAAACGTTGTTGCTAATGATTTTGGTGATGAGCTCTTCAAGGCAGCAAATGGTCAGATCAGTCACATGAAAATGAATTTGGCAATGCTGCTGGGGAGCTGTTAGCCTCAGGGAAAAGAGCAGGTGATTGCCCCAGCAGACACTATTTCCTCCTTCATTTTACTAATTGTGGACATGGAAGGTGACTCTGTGCCCAAGACCAGGGGGATTGGATGGCTGCAGCACCTGAGTTGTTAGCAGGAGAGGGTTTCTGGAAGGGGCGGGAGGTCAGCCTCCCAGGTCAGAGAAGCAAAGCCAGCGGGAAGGAGCAGCTTCAGCAGCGTCAGCCAGCAGCAGTGTTAACTCCTAAAGGCACTTGCCACAGGAGCTGCCATGTACAGGTTAGCCTTAATCTGAAACTTCACTTTTTTTGTATGTGCCATATGGGGCTTGAACTCAAGGCTTGGTTGTTATCCAATACTATTTCTTCTTTTTTAATTTGCTCAAGGCTAGCAACACTTTACCACTTGAGCCATAGCTCCACTCCTGGCTTTTTTTTTTCTTTTTCTTTTTTGGTGGTTAATTGGAGAAGAGTCTTACAGAGTTCCCTGCCTGGGCTGGCTTTGAATACCACAGCAGTAACAGAACTAGGATGCATTTTTTTTAACCTTTCCCTTTTACATTGAGTGTGCTGCATGTCTAATTTTGCTGAGGACTGCAGAACGTAATGCAAATGATAGATGTACACATACACATGCATCATTTGAATTTTTGGAAACTTTAGCTGTGCTGTCAACTTTGGAAAAAGTATTCCAGTCAGTATTATACAGAAATGAATAACCGTATTGGTTTACAAACAGTAATTTTTTTTCATTTGGGGTGGTAACATCATATTAAATATGTAAGATCTTATCCATGTGGGTTTGAGTATAGAAATAGTCTCTAAATAATGAAAAGATGAAAGACATGTGGACATCTGTTATGGTAACTGAAACAGCTCTGCTGTAGACAAGGGGAGAGGAAAGCCAGCTTCTCCCTGGGTTACCAGTTACCCCAACCCAGGGCTTGCCAAGGCCTTACTCCTGTAGGGAGTGAATCTGTGCGTAAGGCAGACTCCTGAAACCTCCCTCATGTAGAATGTCAACTGGCTTAGTGCCTGTGTTCCATCATATGGGATGACCAGATCTGCAGACTTGGGAGTTTTATAAAAGCTGTCTTTCCGCAGTCTGGAGGGTCCTTAGAAAGCTAGATTGACCTCCCTTACGACCCAGTCATACCACTTCTAGGCATCTACTCTGAACAACAGGAACCAATATACAAGGACACGTGCACCTCCATGTTTATTGCAGCACTGCTCACAATACCTAGGATATGGAAACAACCCAGATGCCCCACCACAGATGAATGGATCCAAAAATTGTGGTATCTATACACAATGGAATATTATGCAGCCATTAGAAATGACAAAACAATGGCATTTGCAGGGAAATGGATGGAGCTAGAAGGAATCATGTTGAACTAGGTAAGCCAAGAGCAAAGAGACAAATGGTACATGGTCTCCCTGATAAGTGGATGCTAAATCCAAAATGTTAGGTGATATGACAAAATTAACAGGACTTAAGAAACAAAGAACATCCACTCATCTGGTCGAACCACTACTAAATATCCCCATGCTGCTGATCACATGTATGGTGCATATGTGTACACCGTTATATGTTATAGACTGTGATAGACAATTTGCTCCAGGAAAGTTAGAATGAACTTGTGACTTTAAATGAGCATCATTATTCCGCAATACTGTGAAATTTGGGAAATTATGTAATCACTTAATCACAATTAAAAAAAGAACCTCCAGGAAGGTAAGGAGGGAAGGGATGGTAGGGGGAAAACAATGGAGGGGGTAACAATGCCCAATAGGAAGTGTACTCATTACCTTGCTCATGTAACTATAACCCTGTATAGTATCTTTACAATAAAAAATTTAAAAAAAGCTGTCTTTCCTCTGAGGCCTTCTCTTACAGCACCCACTTTATTTTATATTCTGCGAGTAAAAGCAGAGTCAGTAGTTGAAGTTGACCTGTGGAGCCAAGTTTGCCTGATCCCACCGAGGTATTTAGTCACCAGCATATGCCATGTGATGGCTTCCTAGGAAAAATATTTCATGGTGACAGGATCACACTGTGGAAAGGAAAAGGAGAAAGATCAAAGTCCACTGTTGAAGCACGGGGCCAGCTCAGCCCCAGAGCTGGTTATGGTGTGGGATGGGTAATGAGAACAGAGGAAAGAGTACTTGGCCAATGGCAGAGTGTGACATGCTCAAGTTGGTGAAAAGTAAACTGCCCAGAATCTCCACCGGAATCAGTGAAAAAGGTACTTCAACTCAGGGCAGCATCTCATGAGCAGTCTGTGTGGACGGGAATTATCAAGACATCCTCATTTCCCTGATTGTTAAACTGGAGAATATATGGAGGACTCTTATTTTTCAATGTGCCATTAGGTTATGATTGTGGTACACTAAGCACAAAGGAAGCAGGGTGGTGGGGCCTGCTAAGAATTTCCTGAAGGCCAACACTAGGAGGAGGCCACGCCAGGCAGGTAACCAGGATCACCAGCATTATCCATGGTTAAACATGAGAGATGTGAAAGATATGAAAAGCAAGGCATTCTTCTGCCAGGTGAGAAAATAAACTAGAAGTAATTTCCTCCAGTGTTATAAGGTGGTTTGTTACCACTAGAGTGATCTTATCCTCAGCAATAGGCAGCTGATAAAATTTCCTTCTGAATTGCCACATCTTCTGACAACTGGAGAATCATGGAAACTAATAGTATGTAACAGGAGAGTTAGGACACATAAAGAGACACAGAAGTATTTTGATTATTTTTTTTAATCTTCAAAATTTTCTGCCATGACACAGGAATGCATGATAGAAATGGCTCAACATCTTCACATGAAACACTTGGATTCATTTTCATTCACAAGTTTTTCTAAACATCTACGATTTCATAACCCCGCCTACTTCCAACCATTATCACAGATTTAACTGACCATTAAACAGTAGTTGCCAGCATTAGACAGCTGGAGCGCTCTGCATATTAGTAGTGTCTTTGGAAACTACCACCCAAGAGTATCATGATTATAAATCTCATTGTACATGGCAACCCTGAAGGTGACAGATGTCCCCAGGTAAACTCCCTGCGTAGCATGGAGAGCTGTCTCTCCGGGTTCTAAAGGCCATGCACTTCTAGGCGTGCTTGGTCACCTCCTGGCATTTTCCTTGCGGGGATCGAGCAGCACATGCTGACCTGACGGTTGAATCCCACCACTAACGGGTAGCCATAGATGTGGGCAGAACATACTGAAAAGTCAGGTTTGTTTGGAATTTATGTCTCTTCTTTTGAAGAGAACAATTTTGAGGTTTTCTTTTTTTTTGTTTTTCGTTTTTTTTCCCTAAAAGTTGTAAACAAAAGGAAAGAGACAGACAAAGACATGTATCTATACACAGAGATCTACACTGAGTATTTTTGATGTGGTGTGTATCTTCTTCCCTAGAGACACACACAAACCCAGAGTATCCCTACTCACCCCTTCCCCCCCCCCCGCCCTCCCCACGCAGAGTGTGATTATAAATGCTGTACGTGTCCTTGGGAGTTCACTGGAGTTTTCATATTACCAAATGATGGTGAAATACCTGATATGTATTACTCCTGAGAAGATACTAGAAGGGAATGACAGTTCTGATGCACTTTGGAATGGCACAATCACGTAAACGCTTGCATACTTAAGACTTCTGAACTCATCCAAAGTTTCTACACATGATACAACCCCCCCAAAAAAGTATCAAAACAATGCAGCAAGTTAAAAATAAAAAAATGTAATCAAAGTATAAACAAATATATAGGAAATGTGTATTTGTCAGTAATTATTTTAAAATAGGAAACATGTACTTAAGAAAAAAACATAGTTGACAAAACTAAAAGGAACAAAAAGCCCCCAAACACCCATCTTCCCAAATAAAAGCTAGCCACAAGGTGTATAGCAACTCCATCAGAAAAAATTACCAATCATATAGCAAATATGTAAAGTTTGCAATTTATAAAAAAATTACTATTCACACTTCTGTAAAAAAGAATTTGCTGAATATCATCCCTCCATATAATTAATTTGTATAAAAACGACAAGTGAACCAATGAATTTCAAGCACCAATTCAACTACTTAAACCTACTGTCCTTCTATAGAGGGAGCAAATGATGAAAGCTAAGCTAAAATTAGCCAGGTAATTATTATAGTTTAGTTTTAAAGGCATGCGGTTTGTTTCTTTCATTCACTTGAATGCCAAACATTATAGAATGTTTAGGCTAGTAAAGGACTTACAGGAATTTACCATTTCTGAGTATCAATGGTTCAGTATACATTAAAAGCTCTTCAACACACCAATGCTGTCTTAATTCTAGGATAAAATAGGTTTGCGCATAGAAATTAAGGACTGCTCCTTGATATAACTTAGAAGGGCAGCACCCACATAGTAGACTAACTAGCACATCTGCACATCTACTGCTAGTGTAAAGAAATGGCGTTATTATTCAAGAAGGCAACGCCATCTTACTTGGCAATACTGAGGTTTTCTTTAATTAAAAATCTCCATTACACATTTGGGGCGGGAGGATATCCCACTATAAACACATTTCCCCCCATTTTTGTTTTGTTTTTTCCCCCCTGCATCAGGGAAAAAGTGGCCATCTGAGCCAGTAGATGTGTAACAGGGTTTGCGATGCCTCTTGTTGCTCCTGAAGAAAACACATTCAGTTAATAAGGGGGTTTATTTTCAAAAATCAATATAACCGCTATTTTTGTTTCCAGTATTTATACCAGACCACTTACACACAGACAGTGATTTCTGAGACATAATGTTTCAGTTTGGTTAAACTGAACCTTTAGGTTGGCTCTATCTGAGAGACTGAAGGTAAAACTGTTGAAACAAACTGTGGAAAACAGTGGTGTGGAGTCAGTGGTGATGCTCTGCTATCTCGATCATATCACAAATCACAGGCAGCCAAAGGAGAGAGGAGTCAGCAGCAACCAGGATCTTACAACATAGGTGGAACATCTTGCTGCTCTTCAGAAAGCGCTTCCACTTGCTGCTCACTGACCTCACTGGCTGGCTCTTCATCAACAGGCTCACCGAGGTCCTCGCTGCCCTCCTCACTCTGCTCCTCACTGTGGTCTTCGCTCTGCTCCCCAGTCTGATCCAAGCTATTCTCCAGAAGTGTGGGAGAATTGCTTACCCTACTCTCTTCTTCAACTGTCTCATGTGGGGGCTGGGAAGGTGTTGGAGAAGCACTGGACTGGATGACACTTTCAGAGGAAGAAATGGGGACTCTAGTCAGAGAAGAATCTGCCACGATATCATTCTGGGGCAAAGGCAACTTTTCCACAAGTTTCCACTGAATGATGCTCATGTCTTTTCCACCAGTTGAAATCAGGTGACTGTCATTATGAGTAAAACTGACATTGGTAACATGGCTGCTGTGGGCACTATACTTGTGACTGGGAGCCTATAAAATAAATCAGACAGGAAGATTAGATTCATCCTTTACAGGCCTGAGGACAACAATTTGACTAGGTATAGGAGAGAACTTTGCTTATAAAACAGGTATTTCCAAACCAAAGCTTCAAGCCAGTAAATCCAAAAATTAACACCTTTTTTATATACAAGGAAGAATAAAACAACTGGACATGTGCACTTTCACATTTATGTTCACCTCTCCTGGAAGTCAGGTAGCATACTTGTCAGAGCTTGGCAACTACTCTTGGAATGGCTAGGGGATAATTTACTAGACTGGCAGGATAACAGGTAATTTAAAAAGTGGTATTATTTGTGGGCTGGGAATGTGGCTTCGTGGTACAAGGAACTCCTTGCCTAGCCATGCATGAAGCCCTGGGTTTGATTCCTCAGTACCACATAAACAGAAAAAGCCAGAAATGGTGTGGCTCACGTGGTAGAGTGCTAGCCTTGAGCAAAAGAAGCTCAGGGACAGTACCCAGGCTCTGAGTTCAAGCCCCAGGACTGGGGGAAAAAAAGGGAGGGGGTATTATTTTAAAGTGCCAAAAGTATCAAGAGTAAAAAACCCAATTGTTCATATAAACAAGGAGTAAAACCTCACTGGGTGCAACTGGAGAAGGAAACAGAATCTGCCTGGATTCTCCACTGTACACTTTAGTATTAATCTCAAGAATTATTTAATACCACAAAATACAACACAAAATAAGCCCCAAAGAAAAGGTGCTACAACACTGGTTTCTATGAAGCTGTGTTCACCTTCGCTTTGGAGCAGGGGTACTGGAACAGATGGACTTTACAAAAGTCATCAGCAACAGCTATCACCTTCCTGTTGTGGGATCGCACCAATGCATTGATGTCTGTCCCATCGGATCCTTCTGGCCAGACACCTAGGGAAACATATAGTGTGGAAAAATTAGCCTAAAAATGTAATTATGTTGCATTATGGAATACCGTAACAGCTTGATGGGAAATTTAGGCCAACAGTATTCAGTAGTGACCAGCAGGGGGTGCTAACAAACTGTTTTTAAATGCTTGATACACTTCAACAAGCTTTTCCTTTTCAAAGTCCAGGTTAAAGAAACAGTTACCAGTTACTTTGTATAGCAAGATATAAAAATCACATGCTTGGACCCTGAGTCCCAGCAGAGCTGCAATACTAAGTCTCCAAAGTGAATTCTTAAGTTCCTTTATCAGGAAGACTTTTTTTTTTGTCTAGCATGCTATCCCATACTTTTCTTGAAACATTTATGTCCAATAGAAAGATATATCTAATATAATTATTGTGAGGCATTGTAACAACTGATGAGCATGCTCAACATAAGTGAACACATTAGGCTAGATTATAACTACTGAACCTGTGACTCACACCTGTAAGCTACTTAGAGGCTAAGGTTGAGAATTAAGCTTTGAAACAGCCAAGGCTAAGAAAGTCCACGAGCACTTTTCCCCAATTAACTAGGAAAAAGGCAGAAGTAGAGTACCAGCTTTGTGTAAAAAAAGCTCAGGGACAGAGTCTAGGCTGAGTTCAAAAACAAAACAACATGGAAAATTTGGGGGTGAAGATGTTGGTTTCTTGTACTGAGTATTACACTTCAAAGAATAACTTGCAAATTGACAAAAATAAGCCCAAACACTTCTTGATGGCTATTTCTTAATGTAAATAATTACTGTCTCTCTAAAATAACTAAGAAGCTGTAGGATAATGGTCTGAGACCAAAACATAAGACCTTAGGGACTGGATATGGCTCAAGTAGTAGAGGTCCTACCTAGCAAGCGCCCTCAATCCAAAACCCAGTACTGGAAAAAAAACAAAAAAACAAACAAAAAAAAACAACAAAAACAAAAAATCCTCAAAACAAAACACCCCAGAAAAGTTAGAAGCTACTATTTGAATATTACCTGGAATAATTAAATTGTTTATGGACTGTTTTAAATTTCTTACTAGGTTTCCTTACCTTGACAGCACCTGTGTTTACAATAATGGATACAGTTTTCTAATGTCCACAATATAAAGAGATGATTATTGTGATGAGGTGGAGAACAGCCCAATTTCAGTCAGTGAAGAGGCATAGAGGGCACACAGAGTATTTTGGGTATTGATATTACATCTATATCTAGCATTTCTGTTATCAAGTATACGATCTTTTAAAAACTGTTTACAAGCCAGGCACTGGTGGCTCATGTCTGTAATCCTAGCTACTCAGGAGGCTGAGATCTGAAGATTCCAGTTCAAAGCCAGCCTGGGCAGGAAAGTCTGTGAGACTCTTATCTCCAATAAACCCACCAGAAAACTGGAAGTGGCGCTGTGGCTCAAGTGGTAGAGTGCTTGGCTTAAGCTAAAGAGCTGAGGGACAGCGCCCAGGCCCAGAGTTCAAGCCCCACGACCGACCCCCCCCCCCAAAAAAAGTTTACAAAACAAGGTTTTATTGTTTTAACTTATTTTTCTTCTTCGAGACAGGGTCTCTCTATGTAGCCAAGGCTCGCCTCAACTTGCCTCTTCATGCTTCAGCGTCTCCAGTGTTGAGAATCAGGTGTGCTCCACCAGGCCTAGGCACTTCAACTTTGCTATATATTTTGAAACCCTTCAGAAAGGTATCTCAAGATGAGGAATGGCTTAAGGACACTGCCACAGAGGACAAATTACTTACTAGTAATGTCCAAAACACCAGATTAGAAATAATCCCCAAATTGTTAAGTAATGTCTACTAAAAATACCTTTACAGCATGGATAGTGGAATACACCTATAATTGCAGCACTTTGGAGGCTGAGACAGGAGGACAACCTAAGTGACGACCCTGTCTTTTTTTTTTTTTTTTGGTCAGTCATGGGGCTTGAACTCTGGGCCTGGGCGCTGTCCCTCAGCTCTTTAGCTTAAGCCAAGCACTCTACCACTTGAGCCACAGCGCCACTTCTGGTTTTCTAGTGGTTTATTGGAGATAGGAGTTTCACGATCTTTCCTGCCCGGGTTGGCTTTGAACGGCAATCC